AATGGCAAACACCTTCTGGATCATCTGCCAAGAACGTATATGAACAGGTCCCAGTCCGAGAAAAGGATGGAAGGATCCTGTTCATATGGACCTGTCGTCAGACAGAACACTAAAAAGAACTATACAGAGTGATGCAACTTACTACGTGTCTTCTGTTGCAGGAAGCATCGCATTTATCTGCCAGCCTATAGGCAGTCTGATGTCAGGATTCATCGTGGAGTTTTTCGGTCGCAAGTGGTCCATGATCCTCGTAAATATCCCCTTCTTATTGGGCTGGCTGCTGTACTGCTTTTCGAGCTCAATTACCATGCTGTTTACCGCTAATATCATCCTTGGGATGGGGATCGGTTTCATGGAGGCACCGATTATGACGTACCTGGGCGAGACTTGCCAACCTCACCTTAGGGCCACCATAACCTCATTCCCAGGTTTGAAAATAACACCCTGAAAACAGTAATTTCTCAGGGTGAAAACATGCGTTATGACTTTTCTTATGTAACTGTTTGTGTCCCACACAAACAAATTACAGTTCGGAAATAAATCGATATTTGCAATTCGTTAAAGGGACTACGGAATACCTCGATAACTCTCAGTCCGGATTCACAATCTTCTGTGTCGATATTTGAACTCCGGGTCATCCATAATCGAAAGCAGGGGTGCTAACCTATAAGCGTTCAGCGCTGATCATGTAATATCAAGTACCAGAATATGTTATAAACATAATTGTTTGCAAATACATTTACATATGGAGCTTTTGAGGTTATGTACGCGAATCGTAATAATTTTTTGTTTCAGAGATAGTTTTACGCCGTGATTAAACTCAATACTTATGAATGCCTGATTATAAATTTATACATTTGGTTGATCTTACTGACTATGATTATAATTTTCTACAGGTGTAACGTGCCAGGTCAGCGTTTTCGTGGTTTTTCTCATGGGCAACATCACAGACTGGAGAAGTGTGGCCGGTATTAACGCAGCGTTGCCAATTTTCACCATCTGTTACGTGGTGTTGGTAAGACGTCGAATAACCTGCATGCATAATACACGTTTACTGAACAAGAGAACAATAAGATCCAGGTGTTTCCTTGAATGCCCGATAGATGCCGGAGACTCCAATATGGCTGCTGTCACGTGGTCGGTACGATGACGCACTGCGTTCCCTGTGTTGGCTACGTGGCTGGACGACGCCTGACGATGTCAGGGAAGAGTTCAACCAGCTCGTAGTGTACAGTAATGCCGTGAACAAGACAAATTTCCCCGTCGACAAAGTTGGCTCCACTGTGGTGAATAACCAGGTAACCAGACTCTTTATAAACTGTACGTACCGCCTGTGAGTCTATAAAGGCATGTGACAGAGTAGGTTTAATTTACCTGTATTACTTTCGGCACTGTTCAGCAAGGTATATTTGTTTTACAAGACGTTTCGGGAATTTTCAAAAAAAAAAAAATTCTCATCTTTGGTGGAAAACGAAAGGCGATAAAAAATAAAATTGATGATTCAGAAAATTAATTATTACATAAGACATCAATGTGTAGGCTTATTTGTAAAATTTGTAAAAAAAAAAAAAAATTAATATGTTTTTTGTGCCACAAACAATCATTCTAGAATTAATTTATAACACAGCATTAAAAGTTTTATTTACACTGGCAGTGTTAAATAATTCATAGACTAGAAAAGAGTCTCTAAACTAGATAACTCGTTTTTAGCATTGATATGGTTAAATAAATTCATATCTTATTTACAACAAATAATTTTAAAAAAATCTTGTTAATCTACTTTAAAAATCCGGATCTATTTAGTCATTTGACACTGGAAAAAATCCGCTGTTAGATGAAAAATATGTTTTTCACTAATAATTGTGGTCGTGAAACTTTTTCCCCCGGTCTCAACATCTGATTCAGACCAGAACTGAAGAGATATCAGACCCCACAGTGGACTCAAGTTACGAGAACAAGGGTTTCGAACCCGATGCTTCGGCCAAGGACGACGTACATCACAGGAAAATCGCAGTGCCAGATTCTCAGGACGAGCTGCAGTAAGTACAACTTTGAAAGGTTAGGTTAGGTTAAGTTAGGTTAGGTTAGGTTAGGTTAGGTTAAGTTAGGTTAGGTTAGGTTAGCAACTAAACACCTAATTGAACCATTAAACGCGTGATTCTTGTGAATCTGGTAATGAATACGCCTTCTTATACGATAAAAGACGCATAGTTTCTGATGTACCACTATCAGCTTCCCAAGAAGGATTCTCCTTACAAGTTTTCGTTATATTTCGTCAAGAAATTTATATTATTGGACATAAATTAAAATCAGTGGTGCTAAGATAACAAATTAGTTGCTATATCACGAATATGAACAGCATTAACCATTTGAAACAGAGTCTATTTGGTCTGAAAGGCGAATAGAAGTGGAAGACAACGAAGGTGGCTGCATTACCGACCCCCATTATGATTGTGTGATTTGTGTTGAAGTGACGAAGATGGCGGAGATCACTGCGGCCTCGAAAGGTGGAAGGAGATTCTGAAACCTCAGACGCTGCGCCCGCTGATGGTCGTTAACCCCTCCTTCTTTTTGCTGCACTGGGGAGGACTGTCGTCCATCAAGCCATACCTGGTGCACGTATTCCAGGAATTCGGCGTTGGAGAGGTTTCCTCGTGGGCAACGGTAACCAAAAACTAGAGACGCTTGCAGTTTCTCAGCTGGCTAACAAATGCCTCGCCTTTTGTCAAACCAGGATGTCCATTAACGTCGTCATAACAGCCTTCAATTGCACAATATACTGGAAAGTTTTATATACTTTAAATCCTTACATCTTATCTGAGCCAGATTTAAATATGTCCCCATCCACTCTTTGGTCTTTCATGTTGTCTCTTTCTCATTAATATTTTGTTTACGTTATTCATATCATGACTATGTCGATATTGGAACTGTGTGTTGTGAGAAAGTATAGTCTTGTAGGAGGTCACCGACGTATCGGATAAACGTCGCGCTTCCATCTTCAGGGATGAACACGATCGACCCTACAATCGCATTTTTATTTATTTAGTGTTCTGTCTGACGACAGGTCCATATGAACAGGATCCTTCCACCCTTTTCTCGGACTGGGACCTGTTCATATACGTTCTTGGCAGATGATCCAGAAGTGGTTTGCCATTGCCTTCTTCTGTGTGTGAATGGAGTAATTGTTGGGATGCCACGGAGGAAAACTCCGTGTTGCCTAGACCACGGCCTTGCCCAACACAAGTTATAAATTCGGGCACCGCCGGGAATCGAACCCGAGACCCCCAGGATTACAAGGCCAGCGATCGCATACAGTTAAATTATTTGATGGCTTAACAGAGGTCATAGCTAGTCTGGTGTGTGTTTGATGCAGGTAGGGTCGGGTGTGGCCAGCGTCGCTGGAGGAGTTACTCTCTTCGTTCTTGTAAACTGGGCAGGAAAGAAGAAGTTGGCGCTCACGGCCTTAGCCGGCAGTGCAGTGTGCTGCCTTATCATTGCTATCTATAGTTACGTGGTGCTGGTGTCAGATGCCGCTACTGTGCAGGCGATGCCCTGGATTCCTCTCACGATGGTCATCGTGTTGGCGTTCTTTAACAGCCTGTATTTCTACATCCCCTGGAACTGGCTAAGTGAACTATTTCCCTTCAGGTAGGCACTTCTTGTGTTTTTCTTGTTCGAGGAAAGTTTGGAATTTAGTGTGTGCTATCAATGCTATTTTAAAGTGAAATAACTTTCTGGAAATTTTTCTTTGTCTATTGTTTTGAAATTTAAGATTATTTTAAAACAAACGACGTTTCGGAACCTGTCTGTTTCCGCCATAAGGTAATATCTCACGATCTACTCAGTTGGCAACACTGCAAGGAGATAATCTCAAACTCTTTCCAGCAGAATCTAACAGCGACCTCCCGATGTCTGTTTTTAAATATGTTTAAATTTTAAAATGACAGACGAGAGAAAGCTCTGAAATAAGATCAGCATTGCGAATCTGCTAAATTTGGTCAATTTGTGGTTCATGTAACTTACTGCAAGATTGGTATATAGTGCAATGCACGTGTTGCAGGACACGTGGTATCTCCAGCGGATTTTCAGCCGCCATGTGCTACGTATTTCTCTTTGCTGCTTCCAAGGTTTACCTGGACATGGAGCAAAGCCTTCAGATGTACGGATCCTTCCTGATATTCACCGCTGTCAATGTCCTAGGCTGTTTCTTCATCTACTGGAAAGTTCCAAACACAGAGGGGAAGTCCCTCGTGGAAATAGAGCAATACTTCAGTCGATAAGGTTCATAATGTGTTGCTGTACAGAGTGGTCTCAGGGAAAGGAAGGGTAATTAATAGCCCTCAATTAATACAGACCTATTTGCAAGACGCAAGATGGAAATAAATGTCGAGAACAGTGAACAGAGAAGCGATATCTGGTGAGAGATTAACGATACTCGAGGTTTTGGACAGCGTTATTAAGTACAGTGAACCTTACTTAAAGCAAAAAAATATCATAAACATTTATTCGAGGCACACGATTTGTCATACTAACACGCCGGACACGATAAAGTTAATTTGTATTCGTTTCTTCGTATTTATTGAAACCATTGTAACATTATGCATCAGAAATCTTCTTTTTCCTTAATGTTATCATTATCTGAAGAGATGTTAAAAAGCCTTCTTGCTCGATTTTTCCTCCTTTAGGTCGTCTGTTAACACTTTATATCGAAAACCTTCTTAGAACACTTGTTACGTCAACATTTTAATTATCGTAATGTTTAGTTTAATGATGCTACGCTTTATATTTATATTTGTTTATTGGAAGAAAAAAAATTGAAGGACGTAGTTTTGGACAAACGTTTACAGTGGACAGGGAGATGCATTTTGAAGATAAATTAGTATTCCCAACAGAAGAATTCACAATCAACATGCCTGTTACGTGATTTTCGGTTGCTTGTAGCAACGAGGTCCCTTTTAAAGCGTGTTTCTGGATTAGGCCACCTTACGCAACGCCATCTGTGAACTAGACTCGCTGTCTGCACAAACCATCAACTTCACATACCGAAGTTAATTAACCAAAGACAGTGAACGCTATTTCAGACTTCAACACAAAACTATTCCGATTCTGGGTTTTATTTAGAGAAACCTTACGTTAGCATGTTTCCATGGCAACGTATAATTTATAGAAAAGCCGCGAATACTTGGCATTAACAACGAAATGAGTTTTTTTTTCATAGTTACAAAGTTAAAACTCTTAACTCAATTAAATTTTTAACCATATTCATTTTAAAAAGACGCCTACAACGTATATACTCTTTTTAATCTAAATATTTTAGTGTCCTTAAGACGTTATTTTGGAAACTAGCATGATTTAACCTATAAAAGTATAGAAATTTTTTTTTACAAATGCCGTCTTTATAATGTCATCATGCACTGCTATTATTATAATTCATTGCAGACACAAATATAGGCCCATTTTTGAAAAAGCCTAAAAATATAAATTATTTTGCCTTGTATTTTTGTAAAATATTTACCCCCCCACAAAAATAGAGTTCTATATAGTAATTGTGATACATATAACATTATTTATTGATGCATCGTACGATAAACATTTCTAAAGAAAACTATACATTTGACTTTAATGACATATAAGTTATGTTAGATCCATATTAAATCCAGTTCACAAAGCAATTTTTAGTGTGCACATCAACTGTGAGACTTTATCCAAATCCTCTGAGTAATCTTTTCAAACGTAACACACCGATTACCGCGCGAACACTTTTTCTCATTAGAGGGTTCTTTATGTATTTCGTGTACAGAATACATATATATATTCAAGCAATAAAAACTGACGATACCGTAAGTATAAAGGGATGTGTCAACACTTTAAAGCCCACTGGTAACTATTTGTACCACATGCTTCAACAGTCAGTAACTATTATTTTTTGTATTTATGTGTTTCGTATGATTCTTACTCTAAACAGCGATTATTTCCTTAAATAGCGTTAACCAGTTGATCTTTGTAATGGTGAAGTGTTGTGTTTTCTTCGCGGTACGGACTGAATTGAATTCGTAAGTTTCATTTGAAAGAGCTTCGGCTCCGAAGGTTAATTAGCGTTTTAGTCGTATTATTTCCTTAAACAAGGTTAACCAGTTGATCTTTGTAATGGTGAAGTGTAGTGTTTTCTTCGCGGTACGGACTGAGTTCCTAAAATATTACTCAGACGAGCTTCCGGCACAAAGAATTAAAATATTACGATGTACAATGAACCTGATTTGTAATTTCTATAATTTTATGGTTTTGTGTTATGTTCTTATGTACTTGTGGCCTGTGCAAACTTAAAATGTATATATGTATGTATATGTATATTCACCTATAGCTTGAGAATAGATAAATCCAAACTTTGAATGATTATTCCTTGAGATGAGGAGGAGATTACAGGAAGGTAATAGGGCTCTGCGTTCGGGTGCTGCTGATGGTGGTTTAGTAGCTCCGCTGCCAAGGTCGAAAGAATCTGCTGTATAGTTTCGTTACAACTGACCGACGTTTCAGACGTGCTTACTAACCGCATCATTAGATCGATGACTGTCCGGATGATGGAAACAGTAAACACCTCCGAAACGTCGGAAAGCATCTACCAGACTACCCTGCTTCGTTGTGCATCTTGCTAGAGATTCTGCAAGGTTCGTTCCAGGCTTTTTTTTTTTTTTTTTTGTAATTTTTTGGTCGTTCGGGAACGTAAACCGCGATCTCATTACCGCGCCTTTGAGAAACAGCGACTCGCTTTATGAAATGTCTCCACATTTCATAGTTGACCAAAAGCCGACACGGATCACCGCCTGGAGTGACTGTCACCCGTTTCTCATTAAAACCAGGCGAATCTACTCGACGTAACATGGGAGAGCAATGGCTGAGACCCTGACAATCCTACAGGCCAGTGAACTGAGCGGTATTCCCTCTTTAATCTGTAACAGACTCCGGTTCTGAACTGAGACTGTCTTTGTTGTCTTACGTTAATCTGAAGCGTACTTCCTCGAAAGAAAGAATGAAGCCAGGCGACTGGGAGGGTCTCTCAGCCAAGTAGTCGAAATACAAGCGCGATTCATAAACAGGAATCAATGAACTTTCTGAATACATCGTGTGTAACGTCTTCGATTTAGAACCTCCTTGAAAACCTGACATTTCCTGCTTATATTCTCTGTCGTATTACCTAAAACCAACAATAGTCTCCAAAACCTTAAGGAGATGCTCCCGTAAGATAAATTTTAATATTATCCACTCAGTTACTTCTGAAATTCCCAAAATTTGCCATTCATTTTTAGTTTTTGTACTAACATTCTTCATCTCAATTCATCCCCGTGATCGAATAGCTCCGATGATAATTGTTTGTAACTGATTCAGTGTCGTTAAACACCCACCAGACATCTGACACACCATAAGGTTCTGCAGTTTGAACCTGAAACACGCCATTCTTTTCAAGGCGACCCCTTTCTAACGCCGTGGCCTTATCGAGATTAAGACTCGCACGCTCCAGTTGCTAATTCATGATCGCCGTTAGTTCCAGCGTCACAGTCCAGCTCCAGAACTCGTCGAATGAGGATGCCGTCTCACGGGGATCATCGCTGTGCCGAATATCACTTCGATCAACCTTACAGGTACCGATAATCATTCTCGGTAAATCAGTCCTTTGTCTAAGTAACACCTGCCATTAAGTCATGTAACCTCAGTGGCATTTCGGCTTCTCAGTGCAGTAAGAATTCATATAGCAGCTTCCTCATTTTATAAACATTGCAGTATTGAAGGTGGTTATGTTGCTAAGATACGGTACCAGTTTTTCCTGACTGCAGACAGATTGGTTGTTCTAGGAAGCACCCTTACGATATGGCAGAGAGGTGTAGTCTCAACGATGCAGGTGACAATGCACCCGGGGAGGACCAAATCGCCTCCAAACCGAGTGTCTTCAGAACCAGATTTCCTCAGGTGAGCCATCTTATGGAAATGGTCGATGTTAAAGTTGCTACTTTCGGCAGAAATCTTCCTTCGAGTTTCATTTGTCCTTTGAAACAGACGATCGTCTAAATAATATTTATTAATTCAGCCCGTACCGCGAAGAAAACACTACACTTCATCATTGCAAAAATTAACTGGGTAACCTTGTTTAAGGAAATAATACGACTAAAACGCTAATTAACCTTTGGAGCCGAAGCTCTTTCAAATGAAACTTAAGAATTCAGTCCGTACCGCGCAGAAAACACTACACTTCACCATTACAAAGATCAGCTGGTTAACCTTGTTTAAGGAAATAATCCGACTAAAACGCTAATTAACCTTTGGAGCCGAAGCTCTTTCAAATGAAACTTAAGAATTCAGTCCGTACCGCGCAGAAAACACTACACTTCACCATTACAAAGATCAGCTGGTTAACCTTGTTTAAGGAAATAATCCGACTAAAACGCTAATTAACCTTTGGAGCCGAAGCTCTTTCAAATGAAACTTAAGAATTCAGTCCGTACCGCGCAGAAAACACTACACTTCACCATTACAAAGATCAGCTGGTTAACCTTGTTTAAGGAAATAATCCGACTAAAACGCTAATTAACCTTTGGAGCCGAAGCTCTTTCAAATGAAACTTAAGAATTCAGTCCGTACCGCGCAGAAAACACTACACTTCACCATTACAAAGATCAGCTGGTTAACCTTGTTTAAGGAAATAATCCGACTAAAACGCTAATTAACCTTTGGAGCCGAAGCTCTTTCAAATGAAACTTAAGAATTCAGTCCGTACCGCGCAGAAAACACTACACTTCACCATTACAAAGATCAGCTGGTTAACCTTGTTTAAGGAAATAATCCGACTAAAACGCTAATTAACCTTTGGAGCCGAAGCTCTTTCAAATGAAACTTAAGAATTCAGTCCGTACCGCGCAGAAAACACTACACTTCACCATTACAAAGATCAATTGGTTAACGCTGTTTAAGGAAATAAACGCTGTTTATTATAAGAATCATCAAAACACATGAGTACAAAATGTAAAGTTACTGACTGTTAAAGGAGGTGGCACGTGTTCCAGGTTCTGGCTAACGTAGCAATCCAGATGCTGGTCCTTGATCTCTGCATGTCGTTCGCCTTCACAACGATCGTAATTGCGGCACTGCTAGATGCCAACGAGGATCAAGATCTGTCGATCAACAGCAGCGAAGCGTCATGGCTCGGTAAATCGATCATGAGGCACAAGTCCCTCGTTCAATCAGAGTGTGATCTTGGAATACGAGAACTTTTGTTATTCAAATATCTACTAAAAATTTGTGAGATTTCAGGTTCTGACGGCGGTGAGTCTGAAGTTGGCTGACTTCTGGAATGTTGGGACGTGTAGTCTGGTAGAAATTTATAAAGAAAGTGAGATAAAAATTAAATTTGTATTTCTCACTAAATACATTAGACTTATTAATAAAACAAGGCAAATGAGATGGGCAGGGAATGTTGCACGAATGGGGAAGATGACAAAGCATCACAGTTACTGGAGTAATCTCAGTATTCGATCAGGCGACCATCATACAACAACTTCATGCTTTAAGCATCATTCACCATGCGTCACTTTTCGAACGTCATTAAAAGATAATTTTCTTTCCTTTTTCTTCATTTATCCTCTTCTGATTTCGTTTTTTTACGTTCCTTCTCTGGACCATTCTTCCAGGAAGCATCGCTTACATCTGCCAGCCACTGGGTAGCGTAATTTCCGGTATGATCGTTGAATTCTTCGGTCGAAAATGGTCCATGATCATAGTAAACGCGCCTTTCCTGCTGGGCTGGGTTCTCTACAGTGTGTCAAGTTCCTTGACGGCGCTGTACGTCACAAACGTCATCCTCGGCATAGGGATCGGCTTCATGGAAGCCCCGATCATGACCTATGTCGCCGAGACGTGCCAGCCCGACCTGAGAGCTGTCCTCACTTCCCTTCCAGGTGTGGATCTCTACTTTATGTTATCTAACAACGTTTCTGCCTAGATTTCATAGCGTCAAATGGTAGACTATTATTGAACAATGATCTGGAAACTACTCGTAAATCAGAGCCCACTGCACAATTTAAGATAATTACTATCCAGACATGGTTGGAGTCATAAGAAAAACCACGAAAGAAATTATTCAAGACAGTCGATGCTCGCGACTGATTTCACCATCGGACCTCCCGAATACGAAGCAGGAGTGCCAACCACTTTTACGTTATAAATGATTATGGTTATAACTTTCAACGCTAGTTACCAAAACAGAGAAGGTTAAATTAGCACAGAGACGCGCTTACCATATTCAAAGGTGCCGGGTTCGAATTTCATCAAGTTATATATCTGCTTAAATTTCACCTCAGGATTAATTCCGAATTCAGATCAGCAAAAAAGAAAAGAAGACACGAGTTTGTACGTTTTATAATAGCAAAGTTATTTGACGGCTGTGCCGGCGACAAGAGCTTTTCGCTACGCGCGATTACTGCGTCGATCGCCGCGTCTCACAGTCAAAACGGCACAGCTGCCAAATGTTCTCACTGTAGTACAAACATGAACACAGTTTCGTGCACGTATCATCACGAGCCATGCGTGACACAGTTGTCCGTTCTGCAGGTATAATGGTGCAAATGAGTTTCTTTGT